AGGAACTTCAACTGTGTATAACATAACATAGGACATAATTACATTCATTATGTTATGTTAAAAATTAGTCACTGTTTTGAGTTAGGCTATTTTACCATCTTTAAAATATTGACATAGGTATTTAATATTATTTTTTAGCGAGTTATTATATTTTGCTTTGATTCAAGAAGTCAGTACATACCATACTACAAACAATAGCTATCTACAAATCTATATCACAATACACATTAAAAATTATAAAAGTGAATGGTAGTATAATAAATATATATTTATATAAATCATCCAACATAAAATGGATTAATATTATAACATAAATATTAAGGAAAAAAAAAGCATTACTCGGACTATAGTTTAGAGGAATTCTAAATTAAAAAAAAAAAATGTTATACATATAAATATAAATTTCATAACCTTAACTTCTACAGGTAGATTATTCAGAATTACAATACAGCTGCCTACATTATAATTCTGTAATCTATTATAGATATTCTTTAGAGAATATCTATAATGTACAAAAGTACAAAATTGTAAAAAGTTGAGCTTTGAATAACATTATAAGGCTTAATGAAGTCATGGTTTCGAGTTGATAATGAGATATAATGTATATTAAAAAGAAAGATTTATAGTAAATTTCAACTAATCACTTATACCAGTGTGATTTTCTTTTAAGGACACTTCTTATAAATCGACATTTCTCACTACTTGTAATGTTCAATTTATATTATTTTCAATTTCTACTAACCGGACCTTTTAATAAACGAACGGACACAGATTTAGTCATATTTGAAAAAGTCTCCGTTAAGCTGACACAACCTGTTAAAAGTATATACCTAATTTCTTACTTACAGTAGGGGCTTTCCCTTACAGTCTTTTATCTAAATATATTGTGTGTGATAGCGAAATTAAACATGTTAAAGGTATATTTATAAAAACAACCGGATTTATTATAGTAGCCCAAAAAAAATATTTTATAAACTTCGGAAAACAAAAACATAATTTTGAAAAACAAGGAGTTAAAAAAATAAATAAGAGTAAAAAGGTAAAGTTTGACTGAACAATATATTTCTGCAAAAATAAAACATCGATGCAGTTTATTACTTCTTATAATAATTACAACTTTAATTCAAAGCAATCTAACCATGACTTCAACAATGGTGTGTTACGTTACAATATTAATTTTATTAGGAAAGGTAATATTTTTGAATAAATAATTCAATCCTACAACTACAAGGAAATATTTATCGACTCTTGTGTAATACATGCCTTTTGTTCGAATCAAATCAACCAAAGCTTTTGAAATGTTTGAATAGTAAATAATTTCAGATTAATTAAAAAACTTATTGGAAACAATATTGGTAACAGATATTTGTTTGCTATTATTAATTTTTTTTTAAATATCAAAGAAACAAACAAGAAATTAGAATTTAAAATTGAGAAATTATGTTTGAACCTAATGGCAAATCCCAACTATATTTAATATTTCACTGAAAAACAGTTGTTTTTTTCAGCTTGAATACATAAAATTTTCTCAATTTCTTTTTTTTTTATAATTTAAAAGAAAACGCTTCCGAAATTGAATAATAATCAATTACAGAATTAATTATAATTATCTCGAGATTCAATCTAAAAATTAATTTTCATCAATAGAGATTCGTTCCATGATCTAGTTTTACACCAAATAATAGCACTCTTGTTTATATAAAACATTTGATAATTAATAAAATAAATAATGATTATAATAAAAAAGCATATATTACACAAATTAACAAACATAAATTATGATATTAGTAGAAAACAGTATAAAAATATATATCATATACATAAATATAAACTATGCATACAGAAATATTTACCAAAAATCTGTACACAAAGTTTTAAATTTTTTCAAGGAATAAAACAACAGATAACAATATTTCCACTTTTCCCCTCCCGTGCACTTCCCCGTCACAATAACTCATTTTTTTTTTTTTTTTTTACACTTCACAATTTGCACGACACTAATAAAACACTCATAACTATTGGAGGAATCGTAGGCACTGTTAGAAAAACAAAAGAGAAAAAAAGACATAATGATAAGTAAAAATATATATAAGATTAAGAAAATAGAAAAAAAAAAATGTAATGTCGACGTTTGCTGAAACAAAAGATATTACAAACTAAACAAATAAATGTTAAGTTAAATAGATGTTACAGACTAATGGGAACCTTGTATATTTTAGCTGTTTTTATTAAAGGAAGTTAGTCGGCTGTCCAACATACCATAGATGATATAGTCAAGACGCAATCAGATTTTTACTGTCAACATTTCAACGCAAGCTTGCAGGTCATCGCCAGGGCAAGTTACCAGCATCGATGATGACGTACAAGTTTAGGGTGAAACGTTGGCAGTAAAAATCTTTATAACTGACTGCGTCCTGATTATCTTATCACCGATTTAGCACTTTTTGATATTTTTTTATCAAGATCAACATAATTTTGAATAATCTAGAAAAAAAGTTACATAAAATATACTTCATGATATAAAACACAGTAGACAGCTAAATTCCATTAAAAAAAAAAGGCACAACCATTAATTAATTTTTACATTAGAAAAAATTATTTTCATGCATAAAAAAAAACTTATAAAAATACTGAGGGGAATTGACAATTTTCAAACAATTCGATCTAAACAAAAAAAGTCATCAAGTTTCAAAAAGTCAAAGAATAAATTCACTTTTATTATTAATGAATACACATTGCTGAGTATAAAAACAAATCAAACATGATTAAGAGTTAAGAGAAAATCAAGCAAAAAAATGTAAAATAATTAATTGGGAAACAAAATCTTGTTCACAAAGATCAAAAATTATTGTTAATATATTGTTGAAAGAATCCAACTCAAAGCCTTAATTCTCACAAACAGTAGTACACTAACTAACCAGTCAACATTTCACCAACTCAGGCTTCAGAACAGAAAAAGATAATAGGACATGAATGCACACCAGATATAGCAGATTACAGATATATACATACACTATCGATCTATATATAAATTAATGTATATATACACAGATATATACAAACACATTTACATTTATAATTAATCTGAGATGGGCTATATTTAGACTGCATTCATGGTATCTTTTACTGTCCTGAAGATGTCAGAATAGATAGTTGTTTCTTACTAATGGAGGAACTTAAAGCCATTGTATTGGATTCTTCTAATATCTCAACTTGGAAAACTAATTAATGGATCGATATAATTTCACTCCAATTACAAAATTTCATGGATTAATATTATTAACACACTCGGTATGGAAGTGATCTCAGGTAAGGTCCACACTACGTGATTTTCCCTATTTATTGTATTTCATCGCTAGTAATGGGGATAGTTTGTTTTTACTTGAGGTATCAACAGTTGACTTTGGCAGACTTATATCTGACCAAACAGCATATATTTTTTTATATTTTAATTTCATCTTTAATTTTTTAATATATTTATTTTTATTTTAACATTTACTTGGGATTTGTTTTTAGAATTTTGGTTGCACTAATATTTAATGAATTTTAGTAGTTTTGTACAGTAGAAGTAGTTTTAATTTAATGTTATTAAACAGGACCATGGCTCATAATTTCATTATAAATATTTTTAATTTACTACTTTGTAAATAATTTATTACTTTAATCTACAATTTTCAGTTGAGATTTGCTTTATTTGATTTGTTAATATAATTGAATTGTTTGTATAATCAAAAATATATTATATTTTCTGATTTTTTCCTAAGTTTTGTTATTGTATAAAGATGCATTATTTTATTTTATTTATAATAAGTTTCTTAATCAATGAATTAACAGAATCCAAAACAAACATCAAAACATCATAAAGAATTTCATGAGAATCAGTATTAAATAAAAATAATTTAAATGTAATTTTTAGTTTATTTTCTTACAAATTTTTAGAGAAAAGTAAATATAATCATTTTAAACACAGCACATTTTAATGAAAACGCTGAATCAAAATATTTTTTTAATAATTTACAAATTCAATATATTCAAGAGCAGCTGTCAATTATAATATATTACAATGTATTTCATTATTTTTTACAAGGTATCAGAACGTCCACACCGAGAGTGTTATGTATGAAAAATAGATCGATCCCATATTTTTTATAGCCATTTTGTTAAGACAAATCACACAACATTTATTTAGGTGTTAATTAATCAAACCACGCCTCTGATTATTAATCACCTCATCATATTTCTTATCAGCTTCTTCAGCCAGAAATCTGGCTTCTTTCAGCTGATTTTCAAGTGCGTCCATGCGCTCTTCATCAGCCAAGCTGCGGTTCTCAAGAACCTTTCTCTGCCTGATAGTTTCAGAATAAAATTTCATTTTAAAACAAATTTAAAAACTATTTTTTCAAGAAAACAATATAAAAAACAAAAATTATGTTGCCGTATAACCCAGATTTCAATAATACCTGAAAAAAAATATGTTATTTCCTGTTAACTAAATAGAAACATTTAGTTATTTTTACCTGGTAATGTAAGGTATTTAATTATATATATATATTTCTTATTAAAAAGAGATACGGGTCCTTTTGTCTTCTATACAACTATTATAATTATATGAAGCTTTCAGAATCAAAACCAGTTAAATTCAGGTTTTAAAATTTTTCAAGTGGTTCATAAATATATGAAATTTCAAGAATATAATAAAAAGATACAGTACCAATATGGTCTTTAATATACTTTTTATGTTTACAGTATACATAACATAAAACTTTAATCATAATTTGAGAAACTCTTAGAAACGTTTTGAAAACTGGATTTAACAGATTTTAACCATGCCTCATATATCTTTTAAAGATTCTATAAAAAATTAAAGGCTTATAATTAAACATGTTCCACTTAAAGATGTGATTTTATAGATGGGGAATACCGATTTTCTTGTAAAAATAAATAACATTCAGAACCAGGTGATAACTAAATATTTCTATCCGTCAATAATTTTATCTTACCTCTTCATATTTTTTGTCACTTTCTTCGGCGATGAGTTTGGCCTGGGCGAGTTGTGCTTCTAAGCTACCCACCCTGTCGTCTTCCATATTTGTCCTGTTCTCCAATGCTTTCCGTATCCTTTCATTAGATTAAAATGTTAATAAATCGAAAATAAAAAAACAAACAATTTTAATAAGGCCACTTACTTAATTTAATTTTCATCTTTTTTTTTTTATAGTAATAGCTTCAAATGAAACAAGATATGATTTCATGCCTTGAAAACAATTCATTAAATCAGAATGAGTCAGATATCTCAAGGGGAAAAAAATAATAAAAGAAGAGACAACTTAAAAATTTTGATTCATAAACAGTGGTCAATTATGTAATTTTGTTCTTAATCATTGATAACTCTCATTATAGTTAATGAATCAATTCGTAAGTAGAACATCCATCTTTATCGTAAGCTAAGGTGACCAGATTTTAACATAGATAAAGCTGGACACCATTGGCCGGAGAGGGTGGGGGGAGGTAAGGAGAAGAGAATGGTCCAAATTTTTTGTTACAATATTTAATTTTACATAATGATAATCTGATGCAAATGTTAATCAGATAACATATTATTAAACTGAAATAAAGTAGAGAATTTAGTTCTAAAGACGTATTTTTAATAGCGAATAATCTGATGATGTATTTACGACTTCAATAAAAACAGTTTTTAAGACTTATATGTTTTGTGCCAGCAGTTTGTGTATACAATCAGGTAGCTCTTTTTCAAAATGCTATAAAACTTAATGAAGATGGCGCGAAATTTCGGTAAACGAAGTTAATTTGCTGATGCCAAAGATTTAACCTTTTCCTTATCATTACATTTTTTTAACACCGATTCCTTATTAAAAAAATCATTTTTGGGTTGTTTATTAAGTCCAAACAATGGTGGTTGACTTTTAACAACTGATCAACAATGAAAACTTTGCTAAGCAGTCCCCGATAATCAGTCCTCAACTATTATCTGGTATTATTAAAGTTTAACAATTTAAAATCAAAGAAATAATATAAAATCATGTCCTGGCGAAATAGCCTGCCGAAAAACATATATTCTCTCACCTTGCTCCAGCCATTCCCTAGCATGTTGTGCATTCTTTCCAAAAATCAAGACTTTTTTAAAATGGCGAACGCGGTTATCTTATCATGAGCAGAACATCCATCTTTATCATAGTCCGAATAGCCATCTTTATTTGCAATCTTTCTCTCAACATTTTCTTTATTCAACATTCTGTTCACAGAAAATATGTGAGCTTAATCAGGGATAAGAATGTGGGAGACAGTTTTGAAATGAGCGACTGACCTGACATTAGCCTAAGGGTAAATTAGGCAAAAACAAGGCAATACTGCAAGCACTTATCCCAGAAGCTATTAGAGAAAATTTAGGTAACTGCTTCATTTTTTATTTATTGAATATCGTAAACACATATAAAATATAATAAGTGACCTTATTTCTCAATTAATAATGTTTTAAAATGAACTAAACATGCAAAAAAAGGAAACATATTAAAATCACTAGATTAATAAGGTTAAACATAGGAAAAAATTATAATAATATTAGCATGAACACAGAAATAACATGTTTGATAAAACTTATTATCACCATTCCAAAGAATACTTTAAAAGTAAACAAATGTTATTTTTTGAAAAAACAAAAACATTAGATTTTTATTTGTCATATCATTTACATCAAAAATAATTATGTTCGATAAGATAATTTTATTGCCTTTTTTTTTTTTATTATATCTTTTAGAAGAGCTGTATTATGACTAATTTATATTTGGAATATAGCTATAGTATGAGTATAATGTTGAGATGAAACAAATTCTGCCGACCGAAGGAGCAAATTGAGTTCAAATTTTTTGAAAAAAATAACGATGTATTCACATTTTTATTTAGTAATAACTATAAAAGTACACAAATGGAACGGCACCGTTTTGAATTGTACATATAAAAGTGTTTGTATGAATATATAAAAGGAGAAAAAAAAGGTAGTAATTTTTAACAATGATTATGGTACAATTTTAACCGACAATGGAGGAACACTAATATATTTAAATATATATATATATATATATATATATTAATAACGGAAAGAGAGAGTTTATACATGATAAGATTAAGATAGCAAGTAAATACTAGCTGACTGATTACTATGCCTTCTAGATATAGTTTGTTCACACTGATAAGAAGGTATAAGCAAAGATTAGGAAACAAATCACACATCGATTCCAATGTTAATGCTCACGCTCACCACACAATATATACTAACCTTTTATTAACATTTATTTAGCCGATAACTTAACACCCAATGAGCTTTGGAAGTTTGATACATAGATATGAAATAAAAGAATTGAAATATCCCTTAAAAATAATTAAACAATAAATATTACATAGTAATAATGAAGAATTAATTTTGTATATGGGTTATACGAGCTCTGATAATAGTTATAATCTTATAAACTATCACCTCAGTTGTTCGTATATTTGATATGCTGCCCCTAATAGTTAACCAGGCTAGCTGATTAGGAAAAACAGTAAAAGTTTATAAAACAAACAAATTTAATATTAACCAATCTTTTTTTAATTTAAATAATTTAATGTTTAATAAATTAAAAAATTTTTTTTAGATAGATTGATACTTAAAATCTGGTAAAATTCAATCAAGAAAAAAAAAGAAAAAAAAAAGTAACAGGTTTAATATGAAATTCCGAGATATTTCGAAAAGAAATTATTCAATTCATTTTAGCCATGAACTTTGTATTACCAAATTATTGGTTAAATTAGTAACTTCTCTTTAATTAAATGTATAACTGATAGGTAATTAATTTTTTAAAAAAATATCTTAATACGTATTTTTCTTTCTTTTATTCGATAAAAATAAAGATTAGAACCAAAACCAATCTATGCTTATATTTTTCATGATAAATTAAGATTTTACTAAATTCAATAACGAACTTCATCTATAAAAGTATTTAAACCTGAATAATTTTCACCTTGAAATTGAAAAGAAATAAATATATCGTCGGTCCAAAGGCAAAACCACAAATATACTTATTTTTAATTTTAAAACTGAGTTTTAAAGATTCTTGTGGCTTTCAAAAATCAAATAAATCATTTCAAAATATTTTTATAACATAGATTACATACAGAAGATTAGCTTTTACATAATGCTTTTGCCTTAGAAAAGGTGGCGCACAAATAATTTCAAACTTTCTATGTATAAAAAATTAAATTTGACCTTTTTTCACATTAGTGGTTTTTCTTTTGGACCGAAATAATGTCGAAATATCATAAAATCTATACTGACAAAATTATACTGGCCACAAAAATGATTTTGATGAGGAAAATAACATTAACAAGAGAATTTAAATACAGTAGAGTATTTATCTATCTAAAATAAATATTCAATAAAATAAAACAAAATACTGATTATATCATTAATAAAACAACAACATAGGAAAACTTAATTCAATCCCCCCTTATACTGTGTGTGTATGCTGTGAATAATAATAAATGTAAATAAAATAGATTATCAAGAATTATTACATAAATATAATAATCTACTAATTATAAATATGTAAGAAAATTAGAGAGTTAATTGAAACAGAAAGGATCTGATAATCCTTATGGCCTTATCCTTGATCTCAATGTTACTTACTTAACTGTCAAATCCCAATTTTTCAAGAGATACAGAAAAAGTTAAAAAAAAAAACTGTTTTTTATTATATTCAGATTTTTATTTAATTAGTAAGCATTGGGCACAGGCCTCTTTTCATTGAATTATTAAAATACGCCTGAAACTTCATAAATAGTTTTATCTCATGGTAATCTACAACTATTTTATTTACGAAAACTCTTGGAATTTGGATGTTTTCAATCAGGAGGGGAGGGAGAGCAAACTTTGTCTATTTAATTATGTACTAAAAACTTGTAAATACAAAGTCGATTTCTACTAGAATCGTAAGATAATTTGATCACAAAGTCTAGAAAAAAGGTGGCCATCAAAAATATTAAGCTGTTTGGCGTGATCTACACCACCAAAATTTCAAAATAAAGACAATATATAGGACAAACGGCCCAATATTTTTGTAGGTCACCTTTTTAATCTGTTTTGTGATCAAATTATCTTACGATCCATGCAGAAAGCAAATGTGTATTTACGAGTTTTTAGTACCTAATTAAATTGACAAAGTTTGCCCCCCTCCAGAATGAAAACTCTCCTATTCCAAGAGTTTTCGTAAATAAAGTAGTTGCAGGTTACGACGAGATGAAACTATTTACGAAGTTTCAGGCGGATGTTAATAATTTGATAAAAAAGGGTCTGTACCAGGGAATGATACCATAAAGTAGAAAAAAATTAACAATTAATTGCTATGTTAAAAATTTAAGCATAAATAAAATAACCCTAAATAATCATATTTTGTTGTATTTATGCAGTTTCATAAAGCCAATGATTTTATGCTCAGTGTAAATTATCATATTTAGCAAATATAAATATGCAAAAATTTATGTGATATCAATGCTCTACTGTAGTAGTAAATTCATATTATAAAAATTTGAATTTAAATTAGGAAAAATTATTAACGGGTGGCCAGTATATTATTGTAGTTTAAATAAATATAAGCAATGCTAATTGAATATTTAATGTTATTATACATTACCTTTCGGACTCATCTGCTGCTTGGGAGGCTTCGGCCAGTTTAGCTGTTGCGGTGGCCAATCTTTCCTCAGACCTTTCGAGGTCCTCCTCCAACAGTTGGATACGTCTGTTGAGGGCGGCGACCTCGCTCTCAGCCTAGATAAATAACAAAATTAATTAATAAATATGAAAAAAGGGGGAAAAAAAAAACAGTAAATGAAAGCCTGATTATTTTTTTAAAAGGGTTATTTGATTCTTTTTGATTCAAAATGTTGGATGAAAACTTATAATAATAATAGAAAATTAACTTTTAACAAAAAAAAAAAAAAGACATACAAATACGCAAATAAACACAAAAACGAAGAAAAAAAAATCAAGTATGTCACACGAATAAGAAACATCCATTTGAATGGCATTGTATAACAGAAGTAAGCATTAATTTCCATTCATGTGGCATTGGTGAGTTGTGTAGACAACAACTGAAGGAAATAAGAAGCTGCTCAATGAATTCACAATTAGTTGAAGGCATCATACATTATCTTATTCTGTACCCATAATCAGCGTAACAGAAATAGAACACAAAATCATACATTAAAGAAATCAAAATAAACAGTTAATATTACAGAATTCTGAATTATTGGAGTCACAAGACTCTCTATACCAAAATAGGTATACCCCCTAGTGTGCAGAAAATAGAAAATATATTGAAGATTTGAAAGGAAGAGATCAGTGAAAGGGAAAATATATACTTTAAAATGGAGAACTTTGATTGTCTGGGGATAACTTAACTCTTATTAATTAATTTCTTTGATGAAATAAGTAATAAATAATGATATGACTAGCTGAATTGGGATAGATTCTCAACACAAAACAGAAAGTTTCATCTGGAAATTGAAAAGAAAAAAATTATTTAAGTTTTGTTGCAATACTACTACCTCCCAAGATGTTATTATAAATTTAATGCAACTTAATTTCTATAACTCAATAAAAATGTGTCAATATTCAACATAGGTATTTATTTTACTTAATGTTTATAAAGTTGTAAATATTTTTTGAAACCATATTAGAACTAGGGAGGTGGTCGAAAATTTCCCCGGAATGGATTCCAAGTAATAATAAGAGAAGATGAAGATCTTCATTTTGAAAGATGGTGAGAAGAAATAGTGCAGAGATTGACGGACGGTTGGGCGACAGTTGCAAGAAATATAGATATTTGGAATAATATAATGAATACCAATTAAATTAAAACTTTTGTTAATTGTGTTTTTAAAATTTAATTATGTTTTTGTAAGTTAGAACAATTCTGAAGGAAGAAATTGTAATTTATAATTTATATATATATATATATACATTTTTTTTTTTTTTTAAAACCAGACTCTTACCTCCATTGGATAGGCTTTATGTTCTCTATTAATAATGTATAATAAAACTTATATTATTATAATAAATATTTTTTATATTTTTTAACAAATATATATTTTAAATATCTACATCTGGAAATCAGTTCCAAAATATACACCCTCTAAGCTAATTAAAAATTAATACTTTTTTTTATTATATTGTTGGAAGTTTTTGCATAGTTAGAAAAAATTCTTTTAAAACTCGGACAATTTACATGTTGAAAAAATAAGTGTTTATTTTCATAAAGACGAATATTGATTTTTTTTTTAACTTTATTAAATATTAACAAAACTATAATGCTATACCATTATGCTATAGCCGAAAAATGCGAAATTACATTAAATAGAAAATATCTGATAAATAAATAATTATAATAATAATAATACTGACAATTTTCATAGAAACAAAATGCTTCATACATAGTGATACACATTAATTACATTATAAAACCATACGCTTTAAAATAGGAAAATAATGCTTAGAATTTGATTTTAAAAAATCCATAGGAATAAAATTTCCATTTATTAAATTAAACAAACTTGTTTAAAAATCAGGAGAAAACAATTAATTATTGAATCAAAACATAACCTTCCATATTGAAATCATGAACGACCAGAATTATTTATACTAAATAGTTTGGCACTATGTTAAATTAATAAAGATTTAAATCTTAATAGAAAGGATAAAATAAAAAAAGATTATATGACTTGAAATGCAATAATATATATATATATATTTATGTTTAAATAAGTTATTTATGCAGAAAATATAATGGCATTATTAAGAACTATTTAATAAGAGAGATAGAGGGATGAGCTGATCAAGGAGGCGCAGGGCAGAAAGTGAAGACGTGCGCGCGCCGAGCGACCTTGCAAGCGGCTCCAGAAAAGGTCATCGGACAGTCTACAGTCTACAGAATACACTTCTCATTGTCTTTTTTAGAGCCCACACACAAAAACCCACACCGCCATTATACACGCCGTTCCTGGTCCGAGATGAAAGAGGAGCGAGCAGCATTCGAGGAGGTATTTCGCAATCAATTTCAATGCGGCAGCTTCGTATACAACAGGATACGTAAATAAATAAAGTCGTCTTTAATATACTTGAGCGATAGTGATAAAGTCAGAATGGAAAAATATATATTTAATTCTCGTTTACATGATGACAATTTCTAACGCGATAGTATTATTAAGGCATTGCCTCGGTCAATACGCTGACAGTACATAATAAACCTGATGATGGGAAAATGGTAGCATCGAACAGCTGATGTCATGATTATTTTAACTCAGGCAACTTAAAATATAAATATCAGAATGCAGAGCTTACGAAACATTTAGACTCTCTTGCGACTTGACAAACTATCTACACTTCATTTTACAGGACAATACGAATGAAATTGATAAATTCTTTTCTTTTCTGAAATATTCTCAAATGTTGAAAATACAATCTAATTCTCAAAGAAAAAAAGGCAATAATGACCATAGTGGTTGAAGCATCAAAATAAAAAAATATATATAAATATATTTGTATGTATTTATTTTTTTTTTTTACTTACATTTATTAACCTGTATTTGTCAATTACAACCACAGGCGGATCTACGGGGGAACTTTCGGGTTGAAGCCCCTCCCCCCAAATGTTAAAAAATTACCTCTCAAAGTATTATTGTTCATGTAATTACATTTAAAAAGGCTTTAGAATCTCTTAAACATAATTTCATAAAGGTAGTTAGTATCTTTCTTTTTTTTTTTCTAAAGTAATTATCCTGTTATTATATATATATATATAAAAAAATCTTTCGGACTAAGGCCCTCCCAAAATTAAATTCTGGATCCGTTAGTAATCACAACTAAAGAGACTAGAGTTGTTGCAAGTTTCGATATTCCTTGTAGATACCAATGTCGGTTTTTTTCTCGATAAATATGGCCAAAATTTTCTCAAAAGTTAAGATAACACAAAAAATTTATTTGGTAACTTTTTGCTATGATCCAACGATAAAGAGCTGTTTTCTTTTAAAGTATTGTAAATCCTTTTTATAATATATAAATAAATATGAGCCCTTCATTGACAGAATGACTAACGCTAATTTCAACCTTTATTCACAGAAGTATCTTTCAAAACTTTAAACACCTACTCTAGCATCAACTTACACACTGTCTACACATATATTATACATTTTCAAACTAGAAATATCACTAAAATGACTTTACTCAAAAATGTTGAAAATTGACTTACGTCATTCTATCAATTGAAAGACTCATATAAGGGTTTGTATTTCAATACTTTAAAAAATTATAGTATATTATTATATAAGTAGATCTCTCATCCAGAATCCTTTCGATCGTCGATTCATCTGGTTAATTCCAGTATCTCACTTAATTTAAACCAAATTAATAAAAATAAATATAAATACAAACTTTGAGATTTAAAGAAAAAAAAAGAGATAGATAAATTGTTAACTGTTTTTTTTTTAAATATGAGGATAACAAGGATATGCAGTTAAGTTATATTTTTTTTATAAAAGCCGACGTTTTATTTAAATAAATAATTTAATTACTATCAAATTTATTATTATGGATGACGACCTTTTTTAATTTGATAAATAAATTTTTAATTTGATAAAACCCTCCACATTGTGCACTATCAGAGCTTATCGCTTTATGTGTATAAGTACAAGGCGAGCTAAACGGACTCATTTAAGTTTTAAAATTAAAAAATCTTTATATTAAAAGACTAAATTAAAAACTAACTGCTTTAAATCTTTTAACTTGAAACTTTTTTTTTGAGCGAAAAGATACCCTGAAGTGTTTAAGACTTTGAACCCTTACATGTCTTGATCCACCAGTGGACAAGTAAATAATAAATAATAATAAATGACTTATTGTCCGATTTTAACGACTTTTTTTTAAGGAAATTTAAATACCTTTGAAATATCTTATCACAATATCGACAAAAAAGTGTGTACTTTTTGAGTTATTCGGAATTTAATTTTACCATCCCTCGTAACTTTTTTTCCAGCTTATTTTCGTTGAAGTATGTTATATAAATAAATTTAAAGGGCATCAAGAAGAAGACTTTAGCCAAGTTTCATTGAAATCGGTACATTAGTTTAGGCGCTACAGTCTATAGCAACGCAGGGTTTTTGGCCGCCATTTTGAAAGTAAAAAGTGGATAGTAATGTCGATGAAGGAGGATCATCCTCGGGTGACCTAGAATTTTAAATTTGAAAAAAAAAATAGGTCCAGTAATTTCGGAGAAAATGCGCGGACGGTGGACGGACAAATTTTTATCCTTTTTTCGAATTCTACGTATCCTGAAACGTAAAACATCAAATTTTAAGAGGGGGTTAAGTTTTTGATTTGTTCGATTACAATGGTACATTATTGAAAATAATAAATCAAAATATTACTTTAAAATGGAACTCGAAAGAAATATACATTGTAACACATATACCTACTAAAACACTAAGGAAAATTGAAGAGAGTTGGTTTACAACTCGAGCCACAGATGTCACACTATATATAGCAAAGAATGCAGCAGCCATTGACGTTGTAAACATTTCAAGGAAGCGTCGACATATATTACTACTTCACCATGTAGGAGACTTACGACAAATTATAATTGAACAATTATTCATAGTTTTAAAAGAGTTTATTATAAAATTTATTGTACATAGGGTGTCCTGAAACTTGAGAGAGATATTTATATTAGTGATAGTACGCATCAAGAGCAACAAAAAAAAACACATAAATTTTGG